ATGTGATGGTTGTGCAGTTGGATGATGAATTAAGTCACAGGAAAATCTGATTATGAAGAAAATGGGAATTGCCGAGAGATTGAGCTGGGAATTGCAGCTTTAATTTGTTAATTTGAGGTCATCTGAGCCTAGATGTGTGTTTAGCTAACTAAAAACTGGATGATTAAGCTTTGCATGAGGTTAATCAGCCTTGAATAAGCAAGAAAATTGAAGCGGTGCAGAATCTGCTTGCATGCAAGCCAACCGAGAAGCCTTGGATGAAATTCTGGTTGGTTGATGATTTTTTTTTTTTTTTATGATGTCCGAACCTGGTTTTGGATTAAACTGATAGTTAATTAGTTATTTGGTCATGCATGTTGCTGATTAAGCCGTGGATGAAAAAAAAAATCTGAATTTCTAGAGTTACTTGTGATTTAAGCTGGCCGCGACTTTCCTTTATGTTTTGGGTTGAATTTCCGGTTGATTTGTTGTAAGAAGTGATTGTTTGATGCCAAGAGCTAATGATTGATAAAGCTCTTGGCCATTTGAGTATTTTTTTTTCAAGAGTCAAATTTTGGTGGAATCGTTTAAGTGATTTGGCCGAAATGCACTTGGAAAGTCCATGACTTGTTGTTTGGAATTTTTTTGATGTCTTGGACTTCCTTTGTTTAATTTTTTTTTCTTGATTAGAATTGAACTTGTTGAGACCTAGGGCTAATGATTGATGAAACCCTAGTGAAATTGATGTTTGAATTGTGATTTTTCTATATTGGCAAATTGGAATATAATGTGCAAGTAAATTAGAATCGTGAAGGCCGTTTTGGTCCTTTGAATTCGAGTACTTTTTAACCAAGCTTTGTTGAAATATTTTGTCCTAGTATCAAGCTATAGAAATTGAGTATAGTACGATAATGCTAAAATTCGAGTGTCAGGACTTTTAAAACCTTGCCAACTAGTTAATTCTTTCCTTTGCTTAAACTAACCTTATTACCTTTAGGAAATAATTGCATTAACTTCTAAACTCTAGATTTTTCGTAAAATTGTCCCTGGCTAGTTGTTTTAGGGGAAAATTGTTAAAAACACGAGATTTTAATAACTTTAAATGAAAGGCGTAGAAAACTTGTTCGGCAAGAAACCTTATTTGAAGTAAGGGGGTTCTGGTTTGCACCTCTGGAAAGAAAGTACCTTCAAAGAAACCATACGAAATACTTTATCACTTTTACTAGTTTTAATTCTAAGAGAATTGTGGATTTACTTTGAGAAGATAAACTAGTTATATACCGGATAATCTTTCATGTATAAACCAAGAACTTGTATAGTAAAACTTATAGTTTTAAAACTTGGTCTTTTAGGGTTTAGCGAGGACGTGGATTTCGATTCCCAGCTTGACTTTTGAGCTTGACTTTTGGTGAGTGTCCTTGCTTGTTCTATGTTTATCATGTTAAAGTGCTTTCTTGACTTGTTATGTGATAATCGGATAGTGGTTTTCCTGATCCATCGAAATGGGCAGTGTGTACTTTATCGCACTAGCCCTTTCGAGTGGTGATTTGCTTGAAATGTTTTCTCGAATATTTTGCTCGCTCTAGTTAAGTAGTGAGTGGGGGAATGTATCACACCTGAGGGTGGGAGGGCCTCTTATCCTAACTCAAGTACCAAAAACCTTGCAATTGTTGACTGGAGCGTGGACTCGTCAACTAAACCACCAGGCAGGGGAATGTACCACACCTTAGGGTGGGAGGGCCTCATATCCTGACTTGGTAACCACTTGTTGTGACGTCGTTGGGTGAATCCCACAACTAGGCTATAAAAAGGTATACTCGTGTAATACCAAACTCTCTCGTGAGAAGAATGGGCCCGGTGGGAGTAAGTTGGTCGGAGCATGTTAAGGAAAAAAAAAATCTACTAGGACTTTAGATAGTGAGAGTTGACGGATGGTCAACTGCGGTTAAATTTTGATCAAGTTCGTGGAAAATGGCTCCTGAGAGCCCTGTATCCTACCCTGTGCTGTTATACGCTTTCCTACTTGTTGAATTTTGGTTTGGAGTTATTATTTGCTACTTGTTTTATATGATTGCATGTTTGGGGTACCACTGAGCTTTAGCTCACCCCACGTTACTTGTTTTCCTGAACAGGTTCTGGCATTTGAGAGACCTGAAGTCTGTCTTTACCTTTTATGAATGTTGTTTTGAATCAGACAATGTATCTTTCGTCTTGGGTTGCCACTTGAAGTTGGAAAAGTGCAAACGCTGAGTTGTTATTTGACTTGTATGAATGTATTTGGGTTTATGATTTCACTTTGTGGTTTGTAATGTATAAATGCAGTTATGTTTTAATCTAATTGGAGATGTACGTAAGAGTGGATGTTCAGTTGTCCAATGGTAATGCTATCTCTGAAGTTAATGTGTCCTTAGTGTTTTTGGTCGTTTTAAGGATTGGCTTGTTCGGGTGACGAATTTTGTAATGGTTTAAGTTATACGTCGGAAGGGTTTATCCAATTTCCTTGCGTGAGTCCTGGCGAGAGTTAGGCAGGCGACCCGCCAACCCTCTGGTTCGCCTTAGGGAGAAGTGGGGCCGCCACAGTTGGTATCAGAGCCTAGGTTAGAAAAGCTATTTGAAAGATATATTAGATGTGTTAGAAACCCTGAATTTTTTTTAGAGTTAAGAAGTGAGATAATTAGACATATCTTGGGTAGTACTTGAGCAAGTTAGCTTTTTAAGCATTAACCTTTGGACTTGGGTTATTTTACAGGTATGGAAAACGGAAACGGACATGCTAATGGTAACGGATTGGCTAATGGACATGTAGAGCCTCTTAGGTCCATCTCCTATAGGCCACGAGGCGGAGGATCTCGTATACGTTATACACCAGCTGATAGGTACCCCCGATGTCAGTGTAGGGTCACATATGCCTACCCTAACGAGTTGGTGCTGTCTTTAGACTACGAGCGTCGCCAGCTGAGGGATGCTAATCACACTTTGACCCAGGACGTCGAGGAGTTGAGCATCATGGTTGATACTCAGCTTGACCGCATAGCTGATCTAGAGCAGAGGTTAGCAGCTGAGAGGGCTAGGTCAGAGGCTGCTCGTGAGGAGTTAGAGAGACAGAAGTCTCGGTTGACTCTAGTAGCTGAGGAGGTACGAGATAGGAGTGCTAGTATCATGGCTGACACCACTATGATGATAGACGAGATCATGGGTATTATTCAAGGTACTGCTCAGGCGGGTGTTGGGGAGGACCCGGAGGAGGACCCTATGGAGGACGTTGCCCCTGGCAGCCCTGCTGAGGGTTAGACTAGGTTTGATTTGCTTGTAACTAAGTATTCGGGGTTAGATAGAGTGACACTAGTTTAGGTCATAACATTTTGTCTAGCTTGATGGCCTACTTTTGAGGCACTACATCCCTATTTTTGGTTTAAGGGATTGTTTGTATATATTTGTTAAACTTATGTGTCATACTGTTGGAGAGCACCCTAACTTGCTATTTGTATGAACCTCGGTATGTGAATAAGTGTTAAGTGTTTTATTTTCCTTTTCCTTAATGTTCATGTTGATTTTATTTACAAAAAGAAAAAAAAAGATTAAATTAATTAATTAAAATATCTTCGTTTAATTGCTTAATTTTTATCAATAGGCATAACTAGGTTATGGATCGACAAGTTAGAGGTAGAGAACGTGCTAGATCAACTGGACAACACCCCGAGGTTGGTGGTGATAGGGAACCTGAGGTCAATCAAGACCATGATCGAGAGCGTGGCCGGAGACCCAGTGGCCACCGCGATCAATAGAATAACTGATGTCTTAGAGCGCATGACTGAGCACCAAGCCCTTGGACCAGTGCATCACCAAGGAGGCCCAATCGATACTGAGGATCGGGCATTAGAGAGATTCTTAAAGTTTGGACCTCCTAAGTTTTATGGAGGACCAGAACCTGAGGTAGCAGAAGGTTGGTGGGAGAGGATCTCTGATATTTTTGCAGCTTTGAATTATCCGGAGGAGAGACAAGTGGCTTTCGCAGCATTCCAATTTGAGGGAGCTGCTCGTTCCTGGTGGAACCTAGTTAGGGTTAATTGGGACAGGAACCATATCCCTAGGACCTGGGCGAACTTCACAAGGGAGTTCAACGCCAAGTTTCTTCCCCCTCTCATCCAAGAGAAAAGAGAGGATGACTTCATCAAGTGTAGGCAGGGGGCGGTGAGTGTCGCCGAATATGAGATTCAATTCACGAAATTGTCCCGTTTTGCTCCTGAATTGGCAGCCACGGAGCAAAGGCGTATAACGAGGTTTGTGCAGGGACTAAACGTGGAGATCCAGGAGGGATTAGCTGCTGTTCGAATAGACACCTTTGCTGATGCAGTAGAGAGAGCTCAAAGGGTTGAAGTTGCCAGAGCTCAAGTAAAATCTTTCCAGGCCAAGAAAAGATTTGCCCCTAGCAGCAGTCGGGAGCCGACTTATGCAAATGCTCCACCGGCCAAAGTGGGTCGAGGAACGGGTGGAGTAAATAGTCCTGGAGCACCACGAGGTGCTCTAGTGAGAGGAGTTGGGGCAAGAGGTGCCGGGGGGAGAGATATCGGAGCTATAGAAGGACCAAGTGGAAGGGGTCAACCTAGGAACGCCTCGCAAGGAGGTCGTGTGACAACCCCTCAGGTAACTTGTGGGTATTGCAGGAAAGCTGGCCATACCGAGGATGGATGCTGGAGGAAAGAAGGAAAGTGCTTGAGGTCGGAAGCAGCGATCACCAGATTGCCGGTTGTCCGAAAACACAAGAAGGTGGTACCCCGAGTGCTAGACAAGCCACTTCTGGAGGAAGTAGGCCAAAGGTTCCTGCCAGGGTGTACGCCATAGACGATCAACCCGTACCTTATTCCTCGGAAGTTGTGGAAGGTACTCTTCCAATCTTTCACCGATTAGCAAGAGTACTAATTGATCCTGGCGCAACTCATTCATTTGTGAATCCAACTTTTATGTCCGAAATTGATGTAAAACCTGTTAGATTACCCTTTGATCTTGAAGTTAGTACACCCATGGGTAATAAAAGCATAATCAATAGCCTGGCCTATAAGAACTGCGAATTCTGGGTTGGAGAGCGTAGGATGCTAGTAGATCTAGTCAATTTGGACATAAAAGGGTATGATGTTATTATAGGAATGGATTTTCTAGCTCATTACCATGCTAAGCTTGATTGTAGAGCAAAAGTGTTAGAATTTTGGATTCCCGGGGAAGCAACCCTGAAATTGGATGTGAAAGGCAGGTTAGCATCGTCTGCTATGATTTCGGGAATTTGGGCAAGGAAAATGTTGTATAAAGGAGCGCAAGGTTTCTTAGCCTTCCTGATTAATGCTCCCAGTGACCAAGTAAAGTTGGAAGATGTGCCAGTGGTAAGGGAATATCCAGATGTTTTTCCTGAAGAATTAAAAACATTACCTCCAGAGAGAGAAGTGGAGTTCAAGATTGAACTAGTGTCGGGAACGGCTCCGATTTCTAAGACTCCGTACCGAATGGCTCCTGCAGAGCTAAAAGAATTAAAAATTCAATTACAGGATTTATTGGAGAGAGGTTTTGTTAGAGAAAGTGATTCACCATGGGGAGCACCTGTTCTGTTTGTTAAGAAGAAGGATGGAAGTTTGAGGTTATGTATTGATTATCGAGGATTAAATGAAGTTACAATAAAAAATAAATACCCTCTACCACTGATTGACAGCCTATTCGACCAGCTGCAAGGATCAGTAGTTTTCTCCAAGCTGGATTTGAGGCAAGGGTATTATCAGTTGAAAATTAAGAAGGAAGACATACCTAAGACTGCTTTTAATACAAGATATGGACATTTTGAGTTTGCAGTCATACCATTTGGATTAACCAATGCACCAGCTGCCTTCATGGACTTAATGCAGAGAGTCTTTAAAAAGTACTTGGATCAGTTTGTAGTAGTTTTTATTGATGATATCCTAGTATATTCTAAGACTCGAGAAGAACATGCTAAACACTTGGAGATAGTTCTGCAGATCTTAAGAGAGCATAAGTTGTATGCTAAATTTAGCAAGTGCGAGTTTGGCTGGAAGAAATTTCTTTTCTAGGGCACAAAATTTCTAAAGATGGAATTACCGTGGATCCGGCAAAAGTTGAGGCAGTCACAACGTGGAAGCAGCCAGAAACTCCAACAAAGGTTAGAAGTTTCTTGGGTTGAGCAGGTTATTATAGGCGGTTCATCAAGGACTTTTCGAAGATTGCTGGACCTATGACAGAGCTGACAAAGAAAAATAATAAGTTCATTTGGACTCCAAAGTGCGAGTCAAGCTTTCAGGAGTTAAAGAAGCGCTTAACATCAGCTCCTGTTTTGGCATTGCCTGACGGAGTAGAAAGTTATGTCATATACTCTGATGCCTCTAAGGAAGGTCTAGGATGCGTACTAATGCAAAAGGGTAAGGTAGTTGCCTATGCCTCTAGAAAATTGAAGCCTCACGAACAAAATTACCCAACACATGACCTAGAACTGGCCGCAGTGGTCTTTGCCTTAAAGAAATGGAGGCATTACTTGTATGGTGTGACCTTTGAAGTTTATACGGACCACAAGAGCCTTAAGTACTTGTTCTCCCAAAAGGAATTGAATTTGAGACAGAGGCGGTGGGTAGAATTTTTAGAAGATTATGATTGTTCTATCAACTACCACCCAGGAAAAACCAACGTGGTAGCAGACGCTCTAAGTAGAAAGGCCCAAGTAGCGGGGTTAATGGTAAAAGAATGGGACATGTTAGAAGAGGTTAGTATTTGGAACCCTCGCTTGGAGAGATTGAAGATTTTATTTGGGAACTTGTCGTTGAAGTCACCATTATTGGAGCGTATTAAGGAGGTACAAAAAATGGACCCTATAATCCAGAAAAAGTTGGAGAAAGTGCAAAAAGGAGAAACCCTAGACTTTAAATTAGGGTCTGAAGGAGTGTTAAGGTTTCGAGATCGAATTGTGGTTCCAGTTGATGAAGGGTTAAGGAAAGAAATTCTAGAAGAATCACATCGATCAAGGTATACTATTCACCCAGGAGTGAACAAAATGTATCACGATGTGAAAGAGTTATATTGGTGGGACGGTTTGAAAAAGGACGTGGCGGAATTTGTACAAAAATGTCTGATATGTCAACAAGTAAAAGCTGAACATCAGAAACCCTCTGGTCTATTGCAGCCACTAGAAATTCCCGAATGGAAATGGGAACACATAACCATGGATTTTGTAACGGGATTACCTCGAAGTCAAAAAGGATGTGATGCGGTTTGGGTGATAGTTGACAGGCTTACCAAGTCCGCACATTTTCTACCTGTGAGCATGAAGTTTTCTTTGGAGAAACTAGCCAAGTTGTACACAGAAGAGATCATGAGATCGCATGGTATTCCTATAAGCATTGTGTCTGATCGAGATCCAAGGTTTGTTTCATGTTTCTGGCAGAAATTTCAAGAGACATTGGGGACCAAGTTAAAATTTAGCACTGCTTATCATCCCCAAATAGACGGGCAGTCAGAAAGGACAATTCAGACTTTGGAAGATATGCTGAGGTCGTGTATATCGGATTTTGGAGGTAAATGGAGTCAGTATATGACCTTAGTAGAATTTGCCTATAATAACAGCTATCACGCTTCAATTCAAATGGCACCTTATGAGGCATTGTATGGGAGAAGGTGTCGATCTCCGATTCATTGGGATGAAGTGGGAGAGAAGAAAATTTTAGACCCAACGGCTATACCTTGGATGGAAGAAACTCATGAGAAAGTGAAACTAATTAGAGAAAGGCTTCAAACTGCTCAGAGTCGACAAAAGAGCTACGCCGACACAAGGAGAAAAGATTTGGAATTCGAAGTGGGAGACAAAGTTTTTCTAAGAGTTAAACCCTTGAAGGGCGGAGTAGTGTCCAAAAAGGGTAAGAAGCTAAAGCCGAGGTATATTGGACCTTTTGAAATTTTGAAACGAATCGGTAAAGTGGCGTATCAGTTGAGGTTGCCTGCGAGCATGGCCAAGGTTCACAATGTATTTCATGTTTCTATGCTCAAGAAATATCACCCCGACCCAAGCCATATGTTGCAATTGGAAGAAATTGAGGTGGATGAGTCATTAACTTATGAAGAAGGACGAGTTAAGATTTTGGAAAGAGAAGTGAAAGAATTGAGAGGTAAGAAAATTCCTTTGGCGAAGATTCTATGGAGAAATCGTGGAATAGAGGAGGCAACTTGGGAACTAGAAGAGGATATGCAGAGAAAATACCCCGAATTATTTCTTTAGAAGGTGAGAATTTTGAGGACAAAATTCATTTAAGGGGGGGAGGATGTGAGAACCTTGACAAAATATATATATATATATATATATATATATATACATATTGCATTTGCATTTTAGACTTTTAATAAATTTTATTTTCATTTGTTCTTAAGTAAGTATGGAAAAAAAAATATTATAATTCTTATGTTACAAATAATTTAATTGTGCAAAATATTAAACTATTTGAACTTTGCCAAGTTAAAATAATATTTCTTGATGTAGATTGTTTTATTGCTTTAATATTAATTTTTGGAATTCTGATCGCTAATTCTAAGTGTTAATAATGTTAAGTGTCAACGGGAACCTAGAATTAAGACGAAATAGATTTTAGGTCAAAACCCTTTATAATTTCACTTAGGACGTTAAAATCTCGATAATTGAATTTTTGCGAGATTAGTATACTAGTAGGCTATCAAATTTCATTTGGGGTAAAATTTTGGAATTAGATTATGAGTGAGGACCTAAGTGGAAGGTCGGACAAGATGTTAAAAGACCAAATTAGCCTTCCTCCATCTCAAATTAACCATGCAGTCATGGAACTTCATTGGGCAAGCTTCAAATCCAAGCACTTCCATACTGCCAGCTCATCCCCACTACACCCACACCACTACATCAACTCCAATTCACCACAACAATTCCATTTCCATTTCCTTCTTCTGCCGCGAACCGAGAGTGAAGTGAGAGAGAGAGTCGAGCTCTTTATTTTTTTTTCTTCTTTCTGTCCGTAAGTTAGAGAGAAAAGAGAGAGACTTACCGTTCTTCCTTCATTCCATCCGTGAGCTGGTGAAGAGGACCGAGAGCCAACACTTCCTCCATTTCATTTGTAAGCTTGAGCAAGGGAGAGAGAGAGTCGGCATGCTGCATTTCGGAACTGTCCGACACAGAGAGAGAGAGAGAGAGCAAGAGGTAGTTTGTACGAGCTATCTGTCTTCATCTTCTTCATCACTGCCGAGAACTGACCATTTCCTTCCTCATCTTCAACCACTTGTGATCAACTCCAACAACCAACACCACAGCCTGCACTAACCAAGCTCAGACCAGCCATACCCGAGTTCCTTAGCAAGCCGAGAGGAGAGAAAAATTGCAGCTGCTTGTTGCGTGAGTTGAGCTTCAAGTTGAGGTAAATTCTGGACTTAGACTAGTTAATTATAGGTAGATGAAGTTGCTTATGAGCATGCATGTGATGGTTGTGCAGTTGGATGATGAATTAAGTCACAGGAAAATCTGATTATGAAGAAAATGGGAATTGCCGAGAGATTGAGCTGGGAATTGCAGCTTTAATTTGTTAATTTGAGGTCATCTGAGCCTAGATGTGTGTTTAGCTAACTAAAAACTGGATGATTAAGCTTTGCATGAGGTTAATCAGCCTTGAATAAGCAAGAAAATCGAAGCGGTGCAGAATCTGCTTGCATGCAAGCCAACCGAGAAGCCTTGGATGAAATTCTGGTTGGTTGATGATTTTTTTTTTTTTATGATGTCCGAACCTGGTTTTGGATTAAACTGATAGTTAATTAGTTATTTGGTCATGCATGTTGCTGATTGAGCCGTGGATGAAAGAAAAAAAAATCTGAATTTCTAGAGTTACTTGTGAGTTAAGCTGGCCGTGACTTTCCTTTATGTTTTGGGTTGAATTTCCGGTTGATTTGTTGTAAGAAGTGATTGTTTGATGCCAAGAGCTAATGATTGATGAAGCTCTTGGCCATTTGAGTATATTTTTTTCAAGAGTCAAATTTTGGTGGAATCGTTTAAGTGATTTGGCCGAAATGCACTTGGAAAGTCCATGACTTGTGATTTGGAATTGTTTTGATGTCTTGGACTTCCTTTGTTTAATTTTTTTTTTCTTGATTAGAATTGAACTTGTTGAGACCTAGGGCTAATGATTGATGAAGCCCTAGTGAAATTGATGTTTGAATTGTGATTTTTCTATATTGGCAAATTGGAATATAATGTGCAAGTAAATTAGAATCGTGAAGGCCGTTTTGGTCCTTTGAATTCGAGTACTTTTTAACAAAGCTTTGTTGAAATATTTTGTCCTAGTATCAAGCTATAGAAATTGAGTATAGTACGATAATGCTAAAATTCGAGTGTCGGGACTTTTAAAACCTTGCCAACTAGTTAATTCTTTCCTTTGCTTAAACTAACCTTATTACCTTTAGGAAATAATTGCATTAACTTCTAAACTCTAGATTTTTCGTAAAATTGTCCTTGGCTAGTTGTTTTAGGGGAAAATTGTTAAAAACACGAGATTTTAATAACTTTAAATGAAAGGTGTAGAAAACTTGTTCGGCAAGAAACCTTATTTGAAGTAAGGGGGTTCTGGTTTGCACCTCTGGAAAGAAAGTACCTTCAAAGAAACCATATGAAATACTTTATCACTTTTACTAGTTTTAATTCTAAGAGAATTGTGGATTTACTTTGAGAAGATAAACTAGTTATATACCGGATAATCTTTCATGTATAAACCAAGAACTTGTATAGTAAAACTTATAGTTTTAAAACTTGGTCTTTTAAGGTTTAGCGAGGACGTGGATTTCGATTCCCAGCTTGACTTTTGAGCTTGACTTTTGGTGAGTGTCCTTGCTTGTTCTATGTTTATCTTGTTAAAGTGCTTTCTTGACTTGTTATGTGATAATCGGATAGTGGTTTTCCTGATCCATCGAAATGGGCAGTGTGTACTTTATCGCACTAGCCCTTTCGAGTGGTGATTTGCTTGAAATGTTTTCTCGAATATTTTGCTCGCTCTAGTTAAGTACTGAGTGGGGGAATGTACCACACCTGAGGGTGGGAGAGCCTCTTATCCTAACTCAAGTACCAAAAACCTTGCAACTATTGACTGGAGCGTGGACTCGTCAACTAAACCACCGGGCAGGGGAATGTACCACATCTTAGGGTGGGAGGGCCTCGTATCCTGACTTGGTAACCACTTGTTGTGACGTCGTTGGGTGAATCCCTCGTGTGAGAACCCGTAAATTTCCTTATTTCTAGGCCTTATTTTAATTATTTGCACGCCTTTTATGCATTTTCTTTATTAGAAAATTTTTTAAATAATTTTTATGAGTAAATATAGTTTTTAGATGATTTTTCTAGTATCGGTTAGATTTTGAGAAATTAAGAAGGTATATCGGACGTGGGACCCGCAAGTGCGGAAAAGTTCGGAAAAATTCGGCCAGTTAGGTTAAGTTTTGGATATTGGGTTTAATTTACTAGGTGCTAGGAGATAATTAGAGGTTGGTATATGGATAAGAGTGGAGAGACAAAAGGATAACCCTGTATTAAATAGTGTGACAAGTGTCACCATAAGATTAATTCTTACTTGTTGACCACTATTCATGCCTTTACCAAATAAATCAAAATTGACTAAAATTACCCTTTAATTTCAAGCTTCTTGGCCGAACCTTGCAAGAGGAAAAGAAGAAAAACTCTCTCAATTTTCTAGTCTCCAATCTTGCCCAATCTTTCAATTCAACCGTTTAATCTTCAAATTACTCCATAAAACCTCTTAGTTTAGTGAAGTTAAGCTTGGTTATGAAGTTGTTTGGAAGGCTAAGGTGGTTAGTTGCTTCCTTTCTTGTATTTTAAGGTAAGTATCTAAGAAACTCCTCTTTTGTTCTTGATGATGTCTAATTAATGATTTGTGGTAGCCTAAGAGATGATTTGGTGGATTATATCATGATTTTGGTTGAATTTGGTGAAGTTTTATCATTATTCATGATTTTTTTGATTTAATATGATTCATATGGTGTGGCTTTTTATGATGATGGGAATTGATCTAGAATCAAGCTAGAAGGTGTAAATTGTGGTTAATTGCAGGAAATTTCTGTTTTAGAAGGAAATTGTGAAAGTTAGGGTTTCATTCCCCCTCATTCTGTCTGGCACTGTTCATCATAGTTAGAGGCCGAATTAGCCTTGTGTTAAAACATGAAAGTTGTAGGGAATGATATTTTAGAGATGCCTACAAAATTTCAGGTCAATCGGAGTAGCGTAGCTTATGAAAAGACTGAAATACCCCTGCTGCCCTGTTTCTACCCGAACTTGGTAATCAGCTTTGGTAATTGGTTAATTTGATTGGGAATTCCTCTGATTTGGTTATTGACGCCTTCTGAATAAATGTAGCCTGGTGTCTTAGCTTTTGGATGGCTTTGGAATCACTTGATTTGGACTTAGGTAGCCTGACTTAGGATGTTTGAACCAGAATGCGGTTTGTTCACCTGTTTTTACGGTTCTGGTTTAGTATATTGAATTTTTGACCTGGTTGCACTAGAAACTGGACTGAGTAGCCTTCTTCAACATTGTAGCCCAACCTCTTAGCTTCGAAACAGTGTATCTTACACCTTCATCCGATAATCGTAGTGCCAATGTTACCAAAACCGCAAAATGATGTCAAAAACTATTTTTATAGTTTAGAGCTTAATTCCATTTCCGGATTTCCATGGTTTATTCTAGTGCTTATTGTGAGAACCCGTAATTTTTTTTCGAGTTTTAGGTTTTATTCGGGTTAATGGCTTGTTTTCTGCATTTTCTTTATTAGGAAAATTTTCTAGATAATTTTTATGAGCAAAATATAGTTTTTAAATCATTTTCTAGTATAAGTTAGTTCATATGAAATTAAGAGTGTATGTCGAACGTGGGACCCACTAGTGCGAAAAGTTCGGAAAAATTCGACCAACTAGGTTAAGTTTTGGATACTGGAATTAATTTACCGGATGTTAAGAGATAAGTAGAGGATGCTAAGTGGATTGGTATAAGAGAGACAAAAGTTAGGCAAGCAATTAATGATGGTGACAAGTGTCACCATAGGGTTGGTAGAAACTTTTGACTACTATTCCATGTCTTACCAATTGACTAAATAAGCTAAAAATTTACCAAAAATTCCTCCATTTCCAAGCTCTAGTGGCCGGCCCTCTCTCTCAAGAAAAGAAGAAAGAAAGCTCTCCAAGTTTGCTCCAATCTTGCTTCAATCTACC